GCGGCGCAGCCCTGCTGCAGCCGCGGCGTGCGCCGGGTGACCGGGGCTGCAGCTGCCTTGCTGCGTCTTCGAGCCTCGTAGGACCGCCGCAGGAAAACAGAACTCACAAATTGGTTCCTTGAGATTCTTGAGTTGAAGTGAAGGGTAATTAGGAGGTCGCAGTTAATTGGTAAAAACATTTTAAAGACTCCAGGATATCCTCTCTAGGTAATGCCTAATGAACTTGAATAGAACACATCTTTTGATACCCATTTGGCCTACGACTGGTACTTCTCCAGAAAGCCAACTAAAAACCTGGTACCAACAATTGGCAGGAAAATCAGTATTCCCTCTCACTTAACTGAACTTGTAATGAAATCGGTTTAGGGATTTCATTTAGTAGAAGAATTACAGTGGTGATAAATTTTTTTAAAAATATTCATCTTACTTTCAGGAAAATGACATGTAGGCAATTTATTTGAGACCTTGCTTTCCTGTTAGAAGTAGCAGATTATATTGTACAATTTATATGAATAAATTACCTAACTTCAACTACTCTATGTTTGTTAGCGGAGGGAGCGGAGTGGGAGGGGGTCGGATCCCCAGGCCCGATTAATAAAACTCGGGATTTGGCCCTCTGCTGGGTGGCGCTGGGAAGTGCCTGCCTTAGGCACCAGCGCACGCAGCCGAGCCGTGGAAGTGCATTCAGCATTTTGTGCATCTCAGTGCATTAAAAGGTAACGCACCTTACCTGGGAACCTGGCAGTTCCTAACGTCTTAGATAGTTTGTCTCATTTGAGAATGAAAACTTAATCTTTTTCTTTCCTCTCCCCAGTTTTCTAGACAAGATTGACATAGTCAAACAAAATGAGTATACGCCGTCTGACCAGGTAAGGAAAGTTTCGTTACGAAATCACACAATTTATCTGCCCCTTCTGTCTTTGAGGATAACTGTCTCATTAATTTTCTAATTGCCATTTGTGGCGCTAATACAAGTATTATCATGTATTGTACGTATTTAGTATTCCAGTAAAAATTACTGTCATTTGGATTGAAATTATGTTTATACATGTAAATGTACTGTGAAATGAAAATTCAAGACTTGCATCATGCTTCTGTGACACTAAAACTCAAATATCCATTTGAATGAGTAATTTATAAAGTTTTGCCCTCCTTGCTGAATAACTGTCATGCACTTTATTTGATGCAAGGTTAGCTGGTATCTTCTCAGCCCCACCGGCTCCCACTGTAAACCAGATTTTGTAAAAATAACCTTCTTAGAAGATACTATTTTTTTTTTTATCAGAATAGGAATTACAGTTTTCATTTTGGTACAGGTAATCTGAGGATCTTTTTAGGACCAAATCCCCAATCCAGAATCTTGTACCCATAAATAATGCACTTAAGCACCTAGCGTATTTTATAGGATAAATAACCACAAAAAAAAAAAAAAAAGTCCCCAAACTTTTGCAGACAGTATTGATGAGGAGAGAGCAGTTTGTATCCTTTACAGTTGTTCAAGAATAAATTAATTATTCATCCTTTTAAAAATCTGAGGTTTTTTTATAGATGAGGCTTTGTTATCACTGAAATAATTGTATTTTCAAGAAACAAAATATTAAAAATATAGGTTATTATATTTGAAATGTGGAGAAACTAATGTTCAGATATGAAACTTTAAAACAAGTATCAGTTTTATATTGGAGGGTAAGGGTGTCAGGAGTTTAACTTGTATTTACTTATACTTAGTATATAGTACTAAGTATAGTACTTAGAATTTACTTATAGTAATTACTTAAGTAAGGTGAATATTTAAGTGGTTACTTAAGTAAAATAATTACATACTTCTGTAAGTAACAGTAAGCGCAAGTACTTACGGTGCTTGTTAGGGCCCGTTGACTGCGTTGAAGCTCCCCACAAGTATACTGTACCACAGGCCCGTTTGGATCATCCTCTGGGATGTTACATGTTTCTCCTAAAAGAATTCCTGAGTATAATAATCAAATCACTTCCTTCCCCCCCCCCCCCCCCCCCCCCCCGCCCGGGGGGGGAG